TGCCTCCCCAACGTCACTTTCTGTACATTGTTAGAACAAACTCTGAGCCCTAAATCCAGCCGAGTCTTTTGTCCAGTTTTGCTTTGCTTGCTCACTGAGCAGCAGATTCTTGGCCTAATCTGACAATCACATTTGACACAACTGGTTTCCAATAAATAACAGCTTTTTTCATCTATGGAATAACTCTAATCAACAACTCTGCAGGTTTTTCAGTCTGCCCTGACAAACTGGGAGAGCAAAAAAGCTTGGAGCAAGGTCCTTCAGCCATGAACAGACTGACAGACCTGGCTGGTGGCAGCCCCAGCACCTGCAGATGATCATCCTGGTGAGAGGGTTTGCTTTGGCAAGAGGAACCAGAGGCACCGATGATGACAATAATTACCTGGAAACAGAAACATCTCCTGTCAGCAGGGAAGAAGCTTGCATTATTCATTGGATTAGACTTCATTTTGCTCACTTTGGGGTCATTTTGATCTTCACTGATTTGAAACCAGACAGAAGCAGCTCCTGGACCATGTGACAGTATTGGTTTAAAGAGAACTGGGAGATGTTCCTCTCCCACATCTTGCCCGTTTGACAGCACAGCTGTGGGTGTCACTGTGCAAAGACTGCTCCATTTTGTGAGTCAAATTTCTGCCACACAATGAATTTATGAGTCAGTGGTAGGCACATCAGTATGGGATCCTTTAGCTCAGCCACACATGCACAGTGACAGGCCCCAGCTGGCTGCAGCAATCCCAAATGGATCCTGCTGTAAAGCAGACACCAGGATTATCCCCAGGAATGGTGTCCAAGGGACAGGCATCGGGGAATCTCACCTGACATTTCTCCTTCCTCCTGCACGTCCCCACCCAAGAGGATTCATCTGTTTATCCCAGGACACTCTGAAGCCTACTTCACCAACATCTCTGCCCATCAGCCTCCTGCCAGCAGCTGCAAGGCACACCTGGGCAGCTCCTGCACAGAGCGAGGTGGGGCCCAGCATCTCCACGGTCCCAGAGGGAGCAGAGCCAGCACTGGGCCTGCAGGAGCATCATTCATCCATCCTTGGCTTCCAGAGCTACAGCACCAGCAACATCTCACCGCTTCCTTTGCACATCTGCAGTGCCTGGAACGCTCCCTGTGTGCAGCTGTGAAAGGGCCAGTGCAAGGAAAGGCTCCACCAAATCAGAGAAACCATCCTGACTGTCAGCCTCTCTCAGAGAGAGATGGGACACGGCTCCAGGGTGCTGGGGAATAGCCACGTGAGATGGGGCTGGCAGGCAGTTTCATGCCGTGCCATGCCATGCCTGGCCGTGTCCCTGAGGTCCCAGCTGCCCGCAGGCACAGGCACACACACCCGCTGTGGCACGGCGCTGCTGGCAGAAGCTCAGGCCCTGTCCCTTCCCACGCCGCTGTTCTGCTCTCCTGGCAGTCCCAGCAGCCACGCTCACGGTGCCACCCCAGGGCTGGCACAGCTGTGGGACTGGGAGGAGGCAGAGTGCTGGTTGGTGCTGCCACGGCCCAGGAACGGGGCCAGGCTCTGGGGGGCTGAGCCAGCCCGGCCGCTGTCACAGCCCCCGCCCCCAACACCACCAGATGTCACCAGATGTTCACACACACTTTCAGTTCATCACATTATAAAGGCTGAAAACAGGCGAAATGAAGACCCGAGCAGAGGCTGTTCACCCTCTTCAAAAATGAGAGAGCTTGGAGATGAGGTTTTACTTTAAGATCATTCAAGCAATAGTGGGGGGAACCCATAAAATGGTCCTGGTCAGAAATCCATAGCCAGTAGAAAATTTAAGGAAATGTCTTTGGTATAGGAGAAGCCAGAGGGAAAGGAAATGCATGAGCAGCCCCTCAGCTCTCACCCCCCTCTCCTCCTGCGAGCAGGAGCCTGGCAGTGCCCCGTGCCCACCCCCGTGCCACCCCCACGGGAGCTGTGTCACTGCACTGCGCAGGGGTGGCTCTGCTGGCCCATGCCAGCCTGTCCCCAAGCCCTGCCTCGGCCCATGGGGGGCTGGCTGGAGCCTGGCTGTGCCCCTGCTGTGCCCCTGCCCCGGGCGCTCCTCAGCAAACAGCTCGGGGCTGGCAGCGCCAGGCTGAGCCTGGGCGTGGGGCTGGCAGTGCCAGGCTGATCCTGGGTGTGGGGCTGGCAGTGCCAGGCTGATCCTGGGTGTGGGGCAGGCAGTGCCAGGCTGATCCTGGGCACGGGCTGGCAGTGCCAGGCTGATCCTGGGCTCGGGGCTGGCAGCGCCAGGCTGATCCTGGGCACGGGGCTGGCAGTGCCAGGCTGATCCTGGGTGTGGGGCTGGCAGTGCCAGGCTGATCCTGGGCGTGGGGATGGCAGTGCCAGGCTGATCCTGGGCACGGGCTGGCAGTGCCAGGCTGATCCTGGGCTCGGGGCTGGCAGTGCCAGGCTGATCCTGGGCACGGGCTGGCAGTGCCAGGCTGATCCTGCAGGGCTCGCCTCCCCCACAGGAGCACTGTCTGTCTCGAACAGCCCCTAAGAGCACCGGAACGGCCCCGAGGGACAAAGGGCCATGCAATATTGATGGGGCAGTGCTCCGCCGGCACACGCTGTACCGTGTGAGAGCTGCTCAGCTCACACCCCCTCCCCTCCATCTCAGCCACTTTCAGATGGATTAGAACACGAAAAATGCTCTTTATCGTTGTGCCAACCACAGGCATTTTCCTCCCCAGTGCTATTTGGAGCATACAATGTGCTTGGTGTATTGAAACACCACTCCTCCCTGTATTCTTCCTTCTTTGGAACTAATCATCCATTTCCAGCCAGGAAGATTTCCTCCAACAGGCCTTTCACAGGAGCTCCTGAGCAGCCCTGCAAAGACCACCTCTGCCTCTGCCTCCTCAGTTGTGTTAGACACCTCCCAGGTTCAGGCCCATTGACCTGCTCACAGCAGCTCCATGATTAATGCTTACACAGGCACAGCTGGCAGCATCTAAAGAGATAATTACGGCTCAGCAGCTGCAGAGGAGATGCCATGTTCCACTGCAAAGCCAGATGTCAATTTTATTGGTCCTCAAAGTTTCAGATGAAAGGCTTTGGGACAATAGGAGTGGAATTATTTCAGGAGATTTGGAGAGGGAGCTCCTTTGCTGCAGGTGAATTGTGGAGCCTGCTGTCAGGTCAGCCCTGAGCATGGGCCAGGGAAGATCCACAGCTGGAGCTCCATGGCAGCAGCACCAGCACCAGGCAGAACTGAACCACTCGGGCTGGGACAAGAAAGGGTCATCTGGCACCACAGCCACGGCTTTGGCTTTTCCCTGGGGAAGGACCCTCTGAAAAATCCACCTCTGAAACTGCAGCAGTGTCAAAACCCCACAAAACCCACCAGAGCCAAATCCTGCTGAACTGGATAGGAATCTTTCCAGGAACTTCAATTGGATTTAACTGATGAGAGAAGATTTTGTGACACCCGCTATGGACTTTCATTCTCCAAAATTTCTACAGTACCTCTCCTCTTGGTCCCTACCCTGGCTGAAGTGATGTGGGAGCAGTGTGCAATCCTTTAAGGTAAAAATTTCAGAAATATGAAAATCAGGAGTCTGTTTTACTAATTTAGGGAAAGCCTATGTTCATCCTCTCTTCAATTAGCAGAGATCATTGTGCCTATAAAGAACTTATGTTTTTTCCTTATTTTAAATAGAAATGCCAGCACAATTTTTCTAATCCATTCCTTTACCTACATTAATTCTCCTCTTAGAACTTGTACAAGACACTGTAATTTCAAGCAGAAGCTTCTTAATAACACAAATCATCTATCCCTGTTGGAATATAAGCAGATCCATGACCTTAGAACTATTTTGCTAAGAAATCCAGCTAGAAAACTAATTTTAAGTAAATCTACAGATGTCAAAAACCCAGATGGCTTTTCAGGATGCTAACTTAAGCTTCATTGCATAAGCAGATTAGGGCTGCCTGTTGAGCCCCACACAAGGGTAGATGGCACTGAATCCATGGAGTTACACCCAAGCTGTTCACTTCCTGATGCATCTTCCATCAAAAACTTTTGTCAGCTCCCCACACCAGGAGCCTGCTCACTGTGAGCACCACACCCAGGGTGGCACCTCTGCGTTCTCCCTCCATCCCTCTGTCCCTGTGTCCCTCTCTCCCTCTGTCCCTCCACCCCAAGGCCACCAGCCAAAGCAGCAGCTGGCTACACTGATGGATGGGGCAATTGTTCCATCCTTCGTCCTCCTCAAATGAAAATGGAGGCAAACAGCCTCATGAGCCTCTCAAATGTTTTGGCACAGCAGAAGTGGAAGGATTTTCTGGTGCAGACTCGCGGGATCCAGATTACCCCGGTGTTACCACTGGTAACCAGGCTGAGTGAGCCCTTGAGCACTCCAGCTCAGGGCAGCGAGCAGCGCGGCTCCGATGTGGCTGCAGGAAGCAGGGCACACACTTCTCCTGGAGAGGACACTCGCTTTTCCACGGGCGTGTTGCGTAACGAGGCCCAGCCCCTGCCCCTCTCTGCTCCGAGCCTCATTCCAGAGCGCAGCAGCCGCCTCTGAGAGCGCCCCGCTGAAACGCGGCCAGAGGGATGGAATTGTGTTTTCCCCTCCCTGCGTGGAAGCGTGTCAGCGCTGCTGACAGATGGCTCGGCCGCCTGTGCCTGGTGATTACCAAGCCTCTATTACCTTTGCAAAGTGAATCCCAGCCGAAGGTTTTCTGTAATGAGTTTCGCAGCGTTTGCGCGCTCGGTTCGTGTCCCACACGTCCCGGGCAGCGTGCGAGGCAGCCGGTGCTGATTTACAGCGCCAGAGGCACCGCGTCCTCCGGGCACAGGCACGGCGCTTTCGGCAGTCTGTGCTGCCACCTAGCCAGGCCCGGCCCGCCCAGCTCAGCCCCGCCGCACCTGCACGGCCCCACGGCAATGTGTCCCCCCGGACCCGAGCGCGGCCCGGGGCTGCGGGCACGGGGCCGGCGCTCCCGGGAACGCTCGGTCGGCGGCACGGCAGCCGCGGCTCTCCCCCGCGCCGCCGGTACTTACGGTAGAAGACATATTCGGTGTAGCTGGACCAGACCTTGTCGTCTGTGTACTGGTTGACGAAGGAAGCCGTCACCGAGGAGTTACAGGCCACCATGTGGAATCCACACTCGGACAACATGTCAAAAGCCCTCTCCAGGTGCTTGAACTTGAGATAAAACCTGGAGGTGTACCTTTCTGGAGCCCTGTCCGGGTCTCTGCTTTCATTCAAACTTTCTCCAAAAACCTCTTTGACCAAAGAAATCCTTCCACAAACCAAAATCCTTGGGACCCTCCTGAATTTGGCATCTGCTTGGCTCTCCCTGCCAATAGTGCACGAGCCACGGTAGCCGATGGTGATGAATCCCCACTTGCGGTCTGGCGGGAGGAGCGACGAGGGGGGGCATATTCTGGAGTCACTGCCCTGGGACACCTCTTCGTAGTCGCTGTGGCAATAATCATCAGGGCTTTGCTTGTTGTCATCGGGAGTCAGGAGCTTGACCAAGTCCGGGAGCTGGAAGTACTCAGCCTCCCTCCTGAGCCTTCCCCTCTCTGGGAAGTGGTCGGGCAGAACCACTTGTTTGTCCCTGAGATAGTCCAGAATATAGCGGAACAGGAAACCATCTCTGTCGATGAAGAATCTTCCCTTGGAGTCCTTGGCCAGATCGTTGGCCGTGTCTCTCTTTGGGGTGAACATTTTCCAGAGCAGGGAGTGAGGGGTGCCAACCAAGGTGGAGTGGCGAGTGAAGTAAACCTGGCCGCCCACGTTGAGCTCCACCACCTCGGGGAAGGAGTGCAGCCCCGTGCCCTGCTCCCGGGCAGGAAGGTAAGTCCTGCAGTTGCCACTCAGAGCCATTGTAGTTGAAACTGGAAATCAGCAGCACGGAGAAGCAGGACTATCAATCACATCAGAGGGTAGAATAAAGCTCCCAACATTAAGAAGAAACAAGTGGGAAATGAGAAGTGAGAAAATAAAAGCAGCCAAAAGGATTGTTTAAAAGAAAAATTGGAATTGTCCATGAGTGACAGTGTGGCAGAAGTGGTTTATACACTGAGCCACGGAGGCTGGAGGCTGGAGAGCAATCACCTCATGACATGCAATCACATCATCAGATCTTCCAACAAAGCCATCAAAATCAAGGTCAAGCCAAGCCAATGGTCCTTCACAGGTCTGTGAAAAGGGAAAAAAACCAAGGCACAAATTACTCTTCTAAGCATCACAGCTGCTGCAACAGAGAAAAGCAGAGCAGTTTGTAGAGCCAAGCTAAATCTGCTAAATAGGTCTCTTTTTTTTGGCAAGTTCTACACTTCTATTTCACAAGTATTCATCAATGGAAGGGCTACATATGACTCCACTGTTTAAAAGAAACTGCATATTTCATCTTTAAAGAAACAACTAAATTAGACATGCACATGAGGGAACAAGAACGGGGAGTCTTACCTTGGTTACAATTAATGCATAGCTCTTGTAAAGAAAACCAAAATGTCAAGACACTCAGAACACACATACAGGCACACAGGGTCCGGGTAGTGTGAATCCGATCCCAGCAAGGGACAGCAAAGGCAAGAGAAGTGCTCTTAGCAGCATCCACGGAGGTCTCAAGTGTTAAACCGAGTCACAGGGAAGTTAACCGTGGCGGGTGACGAGGAAACCAGTACATACAGCACGGCGGAAGAAAATAAATAAATAAACAAACAAATAAATTAAATAATTCCCGAGTGGATGCGCTGGGCTGGGGGAGCGGGAGGGCAGCGGGGGCGCGTCCGCCGGCCCCGATGACTTGCAGAAAGCCCGCAGCCTGCGCTAGGCACTGCCGGGCTCCGGCGGCTCCCGCGGCGGCAGCGCGGCCGGCGGCTCCCCCATGGCCCGCCGGGACCGCCGGCACCGCCGGGGCCGCCCCGCCCGCCGGGCTCCGCGGGGCTCCGCCGGGCTCCGCCGGGCAGCGCCGGGCAGCGCCGGGCTCCGCCGGGCTCGGGCACTGGCGAGCGCAGCAGGACGCGCGCAGCGCCGGGCAGCACCGCGGACAGCAGCAGCACCGCGGACAGCGCCGGTCACCGCCTCGCCCGGGCCGGGCCGGGCTGCGCTGCCGCCCGCGGCTCTCCGCCCGAGTTGCGGTGCAGTCCCTCCCGCTCCGTCCCCTCGGCCGGCAGCGCCCGACCTGTGCCCGCCCGCAACGTGCCTGTCCCGGCTGCGCGGGGTCCCAGCGGCGATGCGGGCCGGCAGCGCGGGCGCTCCCGGTGCGCGCGGCCGCGGCTGCCGGGCAGGACCGGGACTCGCTCCCGCTGCCGCCGCTCCTCATCTCCCCGGAGCCGGCAGGGAGGGGACCCGCCGCGGGGCGCGGGAGGGAGGAGGAGGGACCGGGGGCGGCTCCGGCGGTGCGGAGGACCCGCTCTGCTTGTGGGTCTCTAACGGGAAGAGCCGCGGGCGCGCCGGCACCGCCACCTCGTGTCCGTCCCCGCGGCTGGCCCGGGCGCTGCGGGCACGGAGAGAGGAGCCGGCATCCCGGCGGCAGCCGAAACCCAGCGGAGCAGCTGCGGGAGCGGCTGCCCGGAGCACCCACACTGCCGGGAGTCCGCGGGAACGGGGCAGCACAGCCCCGTGACAGCTCACACCACTTCTGGGCAAAAACACTCTTCTCGGAATGATAACGTATGAGAAAAGAAAGCCTTTTACTCAAACGTTGACTAAAAGCTTTAGAGTGAAGTCTCTGTGTGACGGAGTCACCATGCAGGAGTAGTTTTTGCTGACTGCACTTAAGTCCTCAGATTCACTGAATATTCTGAGTTGGAAGGGTCAAGGATCATGGAGTCCAGCTCTTAAATAAATCCACACGGGGATTGAATCCACTGCCTTGGTGTATTAGCACCAGCTGAGGCTGCAGATACTTCAGTGAGATTCTTCTAAAAACATGGCAATAATTTAAAACAAAATAGCCAAAAAGAATAATTTTCAAGGCTAAGACAGAAAATCATTACTTGTGTACCTACAGACTTTTCAAATTAAATCTGAGAGCTGAACAGTTAATCAACCTTGATTTTTACCTTAATTCATTAATTCTAAGCAACTGCTGCACTGCTGAACAGTTCAGGATTCTCATTTTCAAACCAGCAGAGTCTGGGGCCACTACAGGGTGTGCTGGTTGTGCCTCAGAAAAGCCCAAGTCCTGCATCCTGCCTTTGTGGCTCCGCAGAGCAGCTGAAGCAGTGCAGGTCAAGTGCTCCGTAACCCCTGCACAGAGGATTTAAAGGTGGGATGTGAGATCATGTTCACTTAAATGTCTTCATTACTTTTTTAAGAGCCTGGTGCAGTCAGTGCAGACAGGATTTAACATCTGCATGACCAGCCAGAGAGATGACAGCTGCCTCTGGGAGTGACAGCGCTGTCCCTGTTCAAAGCGGGGAGAATTGCATCAGCTTTTGCAAATATTTCAGTTGTCCATGCTAGCTCATATGCTGCAATCTAATTAAAATCCATTTCCATAAAGGCAGGGGTGCCATATTGGCAGGGCTTGAAGAATCAATTCCCTCTCCCCAGTAGGAGCTGACGGTGCTCAAACCAGCGCGGAGGCGTTTGTGATGTCCCCGTGGGCTGCTCGGGGGCCAGGGCACCACAGCGAGTGGGATGTGCAGGTGCTCAGCGAGCAGGGACAGCAGTTATCCACACCTGGGACTCCTGACAAGCTCTAACGAGCATCAGGCACGGATTCCCTGTGATTAGCCAGGAGAGACAGCTCTAAGCTCGAAGCCTTTTTGAAACATTATCATCAGAATTGCCCTTTGAAAAGAACAAAAACCATAGAATTTTAATCACAACAGCTTTAGAAATGCAACTGCACTTTTCAAATAGTAATGAAAGCAATTCAGCACCTGCTTTTATTTCTTCACATGGGACGTTCCAATCATTTCACTGTAACACAATTTCCTTTGATGAAATGACTTCAGGAGTAAAAGCATCACGTAATGCTCCCCAGCTAAATACAAGCCATGGGCCAAATCCATCAAAATGCAGTCTGAGAGAGTGAAACTTTAAAATCTGGGCTAAATACATGGTGGCCTAAATGTAAAATATGTGTCAGGACCACACCAAGGAGCAACTACAGTTCTGATGGAAGAAAAAAAGAGTATCCATCAAAGGGAGGAGGATGAAGCACTTCTCACTTCTGATAGATGCCCCCATAAGTTTCAGGACAGGCAAGGGAAAATTTAGCCTGAGCTTGAAGTGTATGTTCCAAAAGCCCCAGCATAGCTGTGCTGGAAACCAGTCCATGAAGGCTGTGACATCATTCACAGGTTGGAGGTCATTCGTTATGACAAAGTGCTAAATTGGCATTTCAGGAAATCATGGAACAACTGACTTTATAGAATTTGGTGGGTGTTAGAAATAGGAGTCTGAAAAGCAGCAGCAGTGAGGGCTAGAAAGGAAGGGCAGCGTTACCTGGGCTGGAGTGTCAGTGTGTGTGTGTGTGTGTGTCACCTCCCATCTCCGGAGGAAACACACAGGCTGGAAATTCGAATCAAGTCACCCACACATAGTGAGAAATGTGGAAGCTGTTTATCAGCAACAACACAAGAGCTTTGAGGTGCCTGCAGAAGGAGCAGTTGAAAGTAGCAGAAACTGAAGTAGTAATTCTGAGGAAAAAATACATTCAAGTAGGATTTTGGATAGAAGATTCCACCTAAAAAGCCACATGAGAACTTTCATCACTCTGTGTGATCTTTACACACAATAGTTAAAATAAAAAAGGAAGAAAGAAGAACAGCACTTCCAGTTCCAGGCTTGCACTTTGATTCAGGAACAACTTCAAGGTGCCACCTAAGGATCCTTCAGCCCTGTTCCCTGTAACATTCTGTGCTTCTCAGCAGGCTCGTGTCTGAGTACTGAGCCCAGGCAATGTTTCCCAGGGCAGAATTCCCTCAAGCCAGTGAGAAGAGGGCAGTTTCTGAGAATGGTGGCATGGCAGAGGAACAAGGATATGTCTGGACTGGGCCTGTCATGAGGGCCGTGGTTTCCCCGAGCGGCAGAAACCGTGTCCTGCACTGGTGCTCCCAGACAGGACTGCCAATCCAGCCTCAACCCACGGCAAAGAACAGAGCCTGGGAGGAACCAGTCCCAGATTCCTGCGAGTTCCAGCCCCCTAACCCAGACACCTCTCCAGCAGGGGTGTATCCTTCCCATCACCCAGCTCCAGAGACTGAGCTCCCTGCAAGGCAAGCCAGGCAAGAACAAGTGATACCGAGCTAAATCAGAGATTATCCCCTGATCCAGCAGTGTGAATTACACACAGTGAAATTCTCTTCTGCTCAAATCCAGCAGTACGTGCGAATGGGAAGCCCTAACAAATCTTTCACTTTGAAGAAAAAAGCATAAAGCCACACTAAATGGCTGAGTGTCCCTGAGAAAGGATCTTCCAGCAAAGAGCGTGAGTGCCATGAAGGCGGGTTTATTCACAGAGTAAAGCATTACACAGATTTGCCCTTGATCTTTTATTCATAACTCAAGTGCATAATGTATTTTCATCCCAAACAAGCAAAGGGGAAGAGCAGCTTTCCCAGCTGCTCAGGATGCGAGCACAGGCTGGGAGCAAGGCTCAAATGGAGACACGACATCGCTTTCTGCCATCGTGCATCGCACAGAGAGGGGTCACAGCTCCTGCACAGAAACCCTTTGCTCCTTGTGGCAAACACCAGGCCCACAGCACACACAGCACAAGGTCTGAGCCCTCCAAAAGCTGCCAGTACCAGGGAATCATGTTCCAGTGATCTCCATATCAATCACGGCACATCGGGGAACATTCTGGAGAATAATTGATATATGTGTGCTGACAACTCCTTTGGAATTCCACGGCCACTGTTCAA